AGTCTAGAACTACTACTAGCCCTGAAAAATAAGCAACAAAATCATACTAAAAGGACGACCCTGCATGTTTTGGTCTAATTTTTCAACAAATCTTCCCAAATATTTAACACCTTAAATACACTGTCAGTTTAATTATATTGATAAAATAATGTGTTTCTTTTGAAAGCATGCCAGCCTCTTAGATAATTATGTAGGGTGGAACAGATGAGAAACTGGGTAGCCAAACTTTTCCACAGCAACAATAAACAGCAGAGTAATGCTCATAATATCCTCAAAGAAATAAAGTATGATCCTGAAATCTTATGTCCAAACTGTCATTTGAAGCATAACGGCAAAACACCCATACACACACCCATTCACACAAGTACATAGCATTCTGAACATGTAAGAACTCAGGGAATCTAACATGGCTCCTAGGATCAATTCCTGGAGAAATTACTAATGGACAAATTTCAGCCAATTAATAGATCAAAGGAAGTAAAATAATGGACAGCAAACTGAATTCATTTAACAGTAGGAATAAGAATTTTAAAAACTGGGATTATGTTACAGAACAGTACAGATTATAAATCTTATAACCTTGACAATAAAGAAACAATAATTTTTAAAAGTTAGAAGAATAAGGATGCTGATTTCCTTTTCTTTTATATCTAAGTGTCAGTATATCATTTGATGCTGAAAAATCAACAAATAGATATAAGTAAAGTTAATGGTACAAATAATCAGACACAATTGTGTGATGTGAGAGATGAAGAAGAAGAAATACACTAATTCTGCTAATGATCATAAAAGATCCTGTGTAAAGGACTGGTCTTAAAATGAATATATACACGCCCCTGGGGGTATATGAAGTATCATATCACTTCTCCTTTCTATCCTCCCTTTTACAATTGCCCCTTATGAAAGAAATACATACCTCCCACACATCCCAAATATTCCTATGGTGCACTGCCCAGTGGTGACGAAATGAAATGACAGGGGTACAAAACAAAGAGAAATTTACAAATAGAGCCGACTGTTTTTCCTCCTTCATATATAATTTTGTTAAAAGCGTAGAGTGATGTTAAAAAAAAAAAAAAAAAAGGAGGGGCAGGCCTGGTGGCGCAAGTGGTTAAGTGCACGCACTCTGCTTCGGCGGCCCAGGGTTTGCAGGTTCGGATCCTGGGTGCACAATGATGCATCCCTTGTCCAGCCATGCTGTGGCGGCATTCCATATAAAGTAGAGGAAGATGGGCACGGATGTTAGCTCAGGGCCGATCTTCCTTAGCAAAAAAAGAGGAGGATTGGCATTGGATGTTAGCTCAGGGCTAGTCTTCCTCACAAAAAAAAAAAAAAAAAAGGAGTATTTTGGTATGTGATGGAGTATAAAAAATTCAAGTATGTATAAATTGGGGCTGCTGGAACTATATTTTCATTAAAAATGAACTCACTAATCCCATCTCTGATTATTGTTAAGAAATGCATCATCCCTGAGGGAGAGTCCCATTCAAGTCAAGCATAAAGTATAGGGAATATGCGGTGATTCCTTATTTCACACACACAATAAACTTATGGAGAAGCTCTATGCCTGATCTCTCTGAGAATTAGAATTCAGAGGCAGGATGACTGTCAAGGTGAGGTGTATCAACACATTTATTTGAATTAAAAAAGGAGTCATGTTTTTTCTATCTAAAAAACATACTGGCAAGATGTGTTGAAATCCAAAGTATATCTATTTTCTCAACTCTTTCTAAGCATATTGGAATGAACAAGGTATCTAAAAGAATGAGTAACTAGCATACTCAATAGTCAATTAATATGTCTTGAACAGATTCTTGGGTATACACTTCCCAGAAAGCGGTAAGTAAATAACTTGGTAAGAATCCCTGTGCAAGTCAAAGTTTCCAATTCTTTGTTTTTGACAAAAGTGGAGATCCTAATCAAGTTACTAGCTTTCAGATCATTAAAAATAATTAACAAAATGATTGAATAAATAAATAAATGGAGGGAGAATTTTCCTGTGCAGAAAAATTTGAAATAATTTATACAGATATCTCAGCCTCAAGGAGGTATAATTCCCCACTCCTTAGGTGTGGGCTGGCCCTATGACTTCCTTTCTTCCAAACAGTAGAGAATGGAAAGGGGGGAAGGAGTAACTTTACAGTGAGCGGAGAAATCCTAAAAACAGAGTTTCAGCCAGGGGATGAATGTTAACATCAACAATGATAAATCATGCTGACAGCATGTCCCCTTGATATGAAGTAATGAAAACATACTTCACCTCCATGGTCTTCCTCCCCAGTACTGATGACCCCAGTCTAAATCAGAAAAATCCCAAGTGGGGGACATTCTACAAAATACCTGATTAGTACTCCTCAAAATTGTCAAGGTCATCAAAAACAAAGAAAGTCTGAGAAACTGTCACAGTGACCTAAGGGGACATGCCTATTAAATATAACACGGTATCATGCATGGGACCCTGGAGCAGAAAAATGACAGTAGGTAAAAACTAAGGAAAGGTGAAAGAGTATGGACTTTAGTTAATACTAATTTAATAATATTGGTTCACTAATTGTAATAAATGAGCCATACTAACGTTAGTTAATAATAAAGAAAACTGGCAGGTGCAGGGTATATGGGAACTACCTGTACTTTGTTCACAATTTTTCTGAAAATCTAAAATTGTTCTAAAATTGTAAAAGTTATTTAAAAAAATCATTGATTACAAAACCATAATGAGATACCACATCCACTTTCTAGGATGGCTATAATAAAAAACACAGATAATAACAAGTGTTAACAAAGACGTGAACAAACTGGAATTCTCATACACTGCTGGTGGGAATGCACTATTTTTTTTTTTTAATTTTTATTTATTTATTTTTTGCCCCAAAGCCCCAGTAGATAGTTGTATGTCATAGCTGCACAGCCTTCCAGTTGCTGTATGTGGGACACGGCCTCAGCATGGCCGGAGAAGCGGTGCCTCGGTGTGCACCTGGGATCCGAACCCGGGCCGCCAGCAGGGGAGCGCGCGCACTTAACCGCTAAGCCACAGGGCTGGCCCGGAATGTACAATTTAAGGCAGCTCCTCAAAAGGTTAAACACTGAGTTTCTCAAAAAGTTAAACATTGAGTTACCATATGACCCAGCAATTCCACTCCCAGGTATATATCCTAGGAAATGAAAACATATGTACATGTAAAAACTTCTATTAGCAGCCTTATTCATAATAGCCAAAAAGTTGAAACAACCCAAATGTCCATCAACTGATGAAGAGATAAACAAAGTGTGATATAAGCATTGAACGGAATATTATTCAGCCATAAAAAGGAATGAAGTACTGATAGAGGGAATGATGAGAATGAACCTTGAAAACATCATGCTAAGTTAAAGAAGCCAGTCACAAAATACTACATATTGTATGATTCCATTCATATGAAATATCCAGAATAGGTAAATCCACAGAGACAGAAAGTAGACTGGTTTCCTAGGGCTGTGGGTGTAGGGTTGGGGTTGGGGGTTCAAAGGTAATGGAGTATGAATGCTAATAGGTATGAGTTTCTTTAGGAGTGATGAAAATGTTCTAAAATTGATTGTGGTGATGGCTGTACAACTCCGTGAGTATATTAAAAACCAGTGAATTGTACACTTAAAATGGGAGGATTGTATGGTATAGGAATTATATCTCAAAACTTTTTTTTTTTAAAGACTGACAACAGATCACTACGTGATTTTTGTCAAATAACTCAGAAGGAATTAAAAGGATTTAGTTTCACTGCCCTACAAATTCTATTCCATTATCATACGTAAATAAGGTTTCTTAATCATCACATCTAACATATACATATTAGTCTTTGGTCCTTGTGTGTGTGTATATATACACATATATATGCATGTACAGAGATATAGACACAGAGGGACTAATATACATGTTAGTATAAATAAAATGTGTATTATTCATACATATATGTATATGTATGTATATAAAATTGAAGCTGTATTTTGCCTCATTCTAGCAATGTAATAATTATCCATGGATACATAAACTAACTAAAAACAAATGTCTATCTGATTAAAAATGCATTTCTAATAATTATTAAATGTAAAAAGTAAAAGTATATTAAGTGTAACATACGTGCATTGTTTTTAATCAACTTACATTAATAAAATAACTCAATATAGCAATAAGTATAACTAGAGCCTTATTGTCCTAAGCAATTAAAAAACAATTTATATGCAGATTTTTGTTGCAGAAAAATATTATAGGATAAATAATATAAGGCTATGGAACACAGAATTTTCAAGTATTAGGATAAAACTCAGTAGGGGGAGTAAAATGGGAATTCAAACCTAAGGAGAAAAAAACGTATTTTTAACTATTTAAATTTGTGATGTAAAAAATTGCTCTTAAAAACATGCAACAATGTACATAGTTTTTCAAAATTCTTTTAAGGGTTATGTGACCAACCCCCACACATATAGGCTTCTACTCTAAACAAACACATGATTAAACATCTATCTATTTAGATAGATCAATAGGTCTATCAACAGATGGATAATCACAAGAAATATACAAGTCTTTCAAATCTTAAGAATCCATATATATACAAAGGAAAGAAAAAACAACAGATAAAGAAAGTTCTTTTAAAAGTAGTATGTAAAGTCAATTTTGAGTTTATAAAGACTAAGACTTTTCTGCAAAAAGTATAAGAATCCTAGAATAAGGAAGCAACCAATCCAAGCACGGAAGTCATGAGATCCAAAGAAGGAGGATCAAACTTAATGTAAGAGGAAGAATTCAGACTAGAAAATTCTTCCAAGATGAACATAAAGAAATGAGTAACATATGTATTATTGCTCTGTAAATATAACTCTTCAAAATAATGCACACACGCTACTTAAAGCTCTAGTGGAAGACAAAACAACCAAATACAGAAAGGATTCTTTTGTACTTGTTAAAAGGTAATATCCAATCTTAATAACCACCTAAAAACCAGATTATTCCTTATGTAAACCCTTACCTGACATTCTGAGTAGGATTCCACCTTTCCGAGGGCAGTTCTCCACTCTGTGGGTCATCTACAGGTGGATGAAGAATTGAAATGCATACATCTCCATTCTATGAGACACAAATATCACATTCAGTAAACACTCAAAAATATGATGTAAAAAAGGGATATCAGTTCCGCTGAAGTTTCTTTTATTCCTACAAAACTTGTGTTCTTATCATTAGAGGACAAAAACACTTTTATTTTTTCTTCATGTTTGGAATGAACTTTAAAGAAGAATTAAACATTATCTGTATTATAAATATCCATTTTGAGCAATCTCTAAGATATACTTCTTAGTTAAAAAGGAAACAGTATGTCTGTAGCATCATCCTTTTAAAAAAAATCCTTTAAAAACAGAAACAAACATGATAAATCAAGATTCAAGAGTCTTGAGAAGCAACTAAATATCTCCTTATTTTCAGACACCTATACCTAAAGTACATAAAAAGAAACAAAAAAAATTTGACCTTACTTAAAAGCTGCCTAGAGAGATGCTATAACCACCTGTAATATCACCGGTTTTAATAACTACAGTTTATATAAACTGAAAATATGTTCCATAACAACTTAATTATAACTTCCTCAGTATACTGATAGAAGAACTCAACACTATGGTTATAATATTTTGGTTCATAAACTTCAATTATAGGAACTAATCCACAAGTATATTTAGTTTAAGTGAAACATATATGGATTGCCTTCCATATGCAATAGACTGCTATTCAATAGAAAAGACAAGACAAAACTGAGTAGGATATAGTCACCTATCTTTTGATCTAAAATGAAAGATAACATTCAATTTTAAAATTAGAGGTATAACTAAAGTGCAAAAATCTTACATATACAACCCAAATTTAGACTTATACACACACGATACAACTATATCAAGATAATACAATATTTTTAAAAGGAGAATAAAATTTTAATAAAATTAATACCAAACAACACTATATTCTAAAACTCTATTATTGTTAGATGCCATGAGGAAGGTACAAAAGTACAACAGAAACAAGGAGAAACTAAGTATATCTGAACAGAGGACACCTGGGAGGTGGTATGGAAGAAGGACGAAAGGCTAGTGGTTGATGAAGCTTTGAGATGCGCCTTGAATAATGAGTACAATTTTAACAACCCAAGGGAAATTTAGACATGTGTTTACCTGGAGAAATAAACCAAGGATCAAAAATGGTAGAAAAAAATATGCTCAAGTAGTTGCATTTGTTTTGTATTGCCACTGTAACAAATATCCACAAATTTAGTGGCTTAAAATAACACAAATTTATTATTTTACGGTTTTGTAGGTCAAAGTCTGACACCGCCCTCATAGAGCTAAAGTAAATGTGTCGGCAGCAATGCATTCCTTCCTGGAGGCTCTAAGAAAGAATCCCTTTCCCTTGCCCTTTCTAGCTTCTAAAGGCCATCCATATTCCTTTGCTCTTGGCCCCCTTCCTCTAATCCTCAAAGTAAGCAACGCTGCACTTCTCTGGGCCTTTCTTCGAAAGTCATATCTCTTCTCACTCTCACTTTCTGCCTACCTTTTCCACTTTAAAGGACTCTCGTGATTACAATGGCCCACCTGGATAATCCAGGATAATCTGATTTTAAGGTCAACTGATTAGCAACCTTAATTCCTCTTTAACATGTAACCTATCACAGGTTCCAGGGATTAGGATGTGGATACCTCTGAGGAACCATTATTCTACCTACCACAGTAGTGAAGAACCTAGTTTAGGTGAAAAATAGAGCACAAAAATTAGACCAGAGGAGTATGTTATTTTGTTCAGTTTAGTATGGGTATAGATAAAATTTCTGAGAAGTGGAATGACATAAACAGATTTATACTTAGAAATGACATATTAAAAGATGGGCATCTCGGGGCCGGCTCCGTGGCTTAGCAGTTAAGTGCGCGCGCTCTGATGCTGGCGGCCCGGGTTCAGATCCCGGGAGCACCCCGAGGCACCACTTCTCCGTCCAACGTGAGGCTGAGTCCCACATACAGCAACTAGAAGGATGTGAACCTATGACATACAACTATCTACTGGGGCTTTGGGGGGAAAAAACTGAATAAATAAATTCTTTAAAAAAAAAAAAAAAAAGATGGGCATCTCAACTGATGCAGACAAGCATTTGACAAAACCCAACACTTTTTCATGATAAATACACTCAGAAAATTCAAAATAGAAGGGAACTATTTTAATATGATAAAGGGCATTGATGAAAAATCTACAGCTAACATCATACTCAATGATGAAAGCTTTCCTCATAAGATCAGGAACAAGACAAGGATACCCACTTTCACCACTGCTATTTAACACTATCCTGGAAGTTCTAGGCAGAGCAATTAGACAAGAAAAAGAAAGATAAGGCATACAAATTAGAAAGGAAGAAGTAAAACTATTTCCATTTGCAAATGACAAAATTCCAAAGAATTCACAAGAAAGCTACTAGAGCTAATAAATTGAGCAAAGTTGCAGGATAGAAGATCACTCAAAAATCAGTTTTATTTCCATATACCAGCAATGAATAAGCTAAAAAGGATATTAAGAAAACAATTTCATTTATAATGGTGACTAAAAGAGTAAAATACCTAGGATTGAATCTAACAAAGGAGGTGGAAGACTGACACACAGAAAACTTGTAAACACTGCTCAAAGAAAGTCAAGACAACCTAGATAAACAGAAAAATATCCTGTGTTCACGGGTAGGAAGACAATGTTAAGATGGGAATATTCCCCAATTTGGTCTACAGAGTCAGTGCAATCCCAATCAAAATCCTAGGGCCGGCCCCGTGGCTTAGCGGTTAAGTGCATGTGCTCCGCCGCTGGTGGCCCGGGTTCGGATCCCAGGCGCGCACCGACGCACCACTTCTCCGGCCATGCTGAGGCTGCGTCCCACATACAGCAGCTAGAAGGATGTGCAGCTGTGACATACAACTATCTACTGGGGCTTTGGGGAAAAAAATAAATAAATAAATAAAATTATAAAATCCTAGCTTCTCTTTTTGCAGAAACTGACAAACTGATCCCAAAATTTATATGGAAATTTAAGGGACCCACATAGCCAGAACAATCTTGAAAAAAAAGAATAAAGTTGGAAGACTCACACTTCCTGATTTCAAAACTTACTATAAAGCTACAGTCAACAAGACAGTGTAGGACTGGCATAATGATAAACATACAGATCAATGGAATAGAATCGCAAGTTCATAAATAAACCCATACATTGATGGCCAATTGATTTTTGAAAAGGATGCTAAGTCCATTAAATGGGAAAAGAACAGCCTCTTCAACAAACGATACTGGGACAATTGCATTTCCAAAAGCAAAAGAATAAAGTTGGACTCCTATCTGACACCATATACAAAATTAACTCAAAATGGACCAAACAAACATCTAAGAGCTAAAATCATAAAACACTTAAAAAAAAAACACATAAGGGTAGATCTTCATGATCTTGAATTTGGGAATGGATCCTTAGATATGACACCACAAGCATGAGCAATAAATAAATAAATAAATAAACTAGATTTCAGCAAAACGAAAAACTTTTGTGCAAAGGACATTATCAAGAAAGTGAAAAAAACCCATAGACATAGAAGGAAATATATGCAATTCACATGTCTGATAAGGATTTAATATCCATAATATATAAGGAAATCCTACGACTCAAAGACAAAAAGACAAACCAGCCAATTAAAAAATGGGCAAAGTTACCTGGGCATTTGACTTTTCCACGGCCTCGTTTCTCCAACATAAAAGGGGCTGGATAGATGACATGGGTAGGAGGCCATGTTGGGCATTGGTTAAAGTTGTGGCTCTGTGGACTCCATTCCCAGCTGTGCTACATAACAGCCATGACTGATGGCAAGTCATAGACCCTGTGCAGCCTCAGTTCCCTCCTACTAATCTAGGTGACAAATCCATCTCACAGGGCTGTTGTGCAGGTAAAAGGGCACAGGGGGGCTGGCCTGGTGGCGCAAGCGGTTAAGTGTGCATGCTCCGTTGTGGTGGCCTGGGGTTCGCCGGTTTGGATCCCGGCGCACACCGACAGACCGCTGGTCAAGCCATGCTGTGGCAGCGTCCCATATAAAGTAGAGGAAGATGGGCACAGACGTTAGCCCAGGGCCAGTCTTCCTCAGCAAAAAAAGAGGAGGATTCGCAGATGTTAGCACAGGGCTGATCTCCTCAAAAAAAAAAAAGGGCACAGGGTTTGTAAAGCATTTGACACAATGTTCAGGGCATGGAAATGCTAAATAAATATCAATTATTGTTATAACTATTAAAAAAACAAACAACAAAACTAATTAACAACAACAAAAAAGATGGGCAAAAGATTTGAACAGACATTTCTCCAAAGATACTATATAAATGGCCAATAAGCACAGGAACGGATGCCCAACATCACTGGCCATTAGGGAAATGCAAATCAAAATGACAATGAAATATCACTTCACATCCCCTTAGAATGGCTATACTAAAAACAAAAACAAAAATGGAAAATAACAAGCATGAGTGAGGATGTGGAGAAATTGGAAGCCTCATACATTGCTGGTGGGAATGTGAAATGATTCATCTGCTATAGAATAGTCTAGCAGTTCCTCAAAAAGTAAAACACAGAATCGCCATTTGACCCACAATTCCACTCCTAGGTATATAACCAGAAGAACTGAAAAAGGTACTTAAACAAGTATATGCATACACATGGTCATAGCAGCACCATTCACGTTTCCAAAAGGTGGGCACAGACCAATATCCATCAATAGACGAATGGATAAACAAATTGTGGTCTATCCATACAATGGAATGTTACTCAGCCACAAAGAGGAATGAAGCACTGATACAGGCTACAACATGGATGAACCTCCAAAACATTATGCTAAGTGAAAGCCAGACACAAAAGGTCACATACTGTATGGTTCCATTTATATGAAATACCCAGAATAAAGACATAGAGACAGAACACTGACAGGTGGTTGTCAGAGACCAGGGGAAACAGGAACGGGGAGAAACTTATGGGTAAGGTATTTTACACTAGAGTGATAGAAATGCCTTACAAATAGAGGTGGTAG